ACCCCTCCCTTCATCCATCCAATTGTGCAACCTTATGATTACTCTCCTACCCCGCCCATCCTCACTTATCTGCTCCCAACCTCCTCCCCCTTAGAACCTTGTACACATTTTAGTAGTTATCCATTTCTTCAATAATGGTCTTATACCGTATTTGTCCTTATGGGACTGAGTTAGTTCACTTAGCATAATGCTCTCCAGTCCCTCTGAAGCTGTTGCGGTTGTTGTTGTTGTTGTTGTTGTCATATGCCATCAAGTCACTTGCAACTCATAGTGACCCTATGTACAACAGCCCTGAAACCTGCTCCATCTTGTGCCAACTTTACTGTCTCTGACACACCTACCCTCATTACCCCAGTCACTGTATCAATACATCTCATCAATGGTATCCCTCTCTTTCTCCATCCCTCCACCCTTCCAAGCATGATGTCCCTCTCCAAGGACTGGTCTCTCCTTGCAACCTGCCCAAAATATGTCAGACAAAGCCTCAGATTCCTTAACTCCAAGGAGCAACCTGGTCGTACCCTCTCTAGGATGAACCTGTTTTTTCTCGTGACAATCCTTGGTATATTCATTACTCTTCTCCAGCACCAAAACTTAAAAATATCAGTTCTCTTTCTATCATTCCTAGTCACTGTCTAGCTCTCTGACGCATAGGAAGCAATTGTGAAGACTATGGCCTGGATCAGGCACACCTTAGTCTCCAGACTGATTGTTGTTGTTCTTCAGTATTCTGGAGAGGTCCCTGACAGCCAGATTTCACAATGCAATTCATCTCTTAATTTCCTGGATGCTGGTACCAAGAGTGTTGATTGTAGAGCCAAGCAAATGGAACCTGTCAACAATCTCAATCTCTTCACCATCTATCATGATGCTGCCAATTGGCCCAGTGGTAAGAAGCTTTGTTTTCTTAATGTTGAACTTCAATCCATATTGAAGGCTGCAGTTCTTGACCTTCTGCAACAAGTACTTCAGGTCCTCCTCAGTTTCAGCAAGCAGGTTTGTGTCATCTGCATAACGCAGGTAGTTGATGAATCTTCCTCGGATCCTGGTGCCATGTTCTTCCTCATAAAGCCCAGCCTCCTGGATGATCTGTTCTGCATATAAATTAAAAAGTATGGAGACAGAATACATCCCTGGCATACACCCTTCATAATTTTGAAC